GGGTCACCAATTTGTAGGACTAGTCAATACTAGTCCGAGACGATGCGCGGAATTAAGCGCGGATATCAGAAGGCAATTGGAGTCGGACACAATGGACTGTATTCGATGGGCTACAAACGACGCGGACGGATGAAGCGAGGCAAGAGCGTACACGTGAGCGCGGGGGACTTACAAGGCAGTTGTGTGTCGAGCCGGTTGTAAGATTAAAACAAGAAGGAGTAATGTACAATCGGTCAACAAGTAAATTGTACACGAAAGATAAGAGTTATCTTTTTGGGCGCTACAAACGGCCTAGTTAAGGGACGACTGAGGATAATTAATGAACGTGAACTTCCGTTTCATCACGAAGTGGGTGGCCCACATCATTGATCGTTGTTAAAGAAAGCAGTTTGCAAGGAATTGCATGAGCTGGCACAAAAAAATAAATAGATGCCTGGTTTGAAATGCCGTTGAATTAAAACAGTTTTTTATTAACTTATGTAGTAGCTTCAAAATCTCGGTAAGTAGCTCAAAAACACATGAAGCGGAAACTATTCCAGCAAGGTAAAAAGCGTGCATTGAGTGTTCGCAGTATTATACAGTGAGGGGCAATAGAATACCGCATAGGTGGAAGGGTACAAAAAGGCGTCCTGACTTTTGTGTATGTCCCGTTCACATCATGTGTTCCAGATAGATGGTGGCCCAATGTGTCACTTAGGTCGCTCATTGGAATGGAGAAGCGTAAAATTTTACCGTCCATGTGGAATCCGGAGGACTCCGTAGGCGGTTTTTTTAGTAAATACTATTCTTCTCTAAAGAACAACACACTATCAACTTTTATTGGGTTAATATATCATGTACGACCCCGTCACCAAGATGCTCAGAAAGAGCTGAAAGCTTGTTAATGAGCCATTGTCTCTTCTCTGCTGTCTACAAACGTATTAGCCGCATGTTTTCTTAAGGTCGTTTTAAAAGATGCAAGAATTGAGCTCAAGTGAGAGCAAAAGGTGTGAAAGCATCATGATGGTGTGAAGAACACAGGCGTTGGTAATGAGAGACGAAGATATTGTACGTCTAGATTAGGTGAAATGTGCGTGTCAGCCGATGGACCAGAACTGATTACATTCCGGCTTTCTGCAACCATTTCAATAGCAGCTAGTACTTTAAACAGCTGTAAAGGTTGGCGTTATCGAATGAGGTTATTGGCTGAGATTAACTCATGCTGTCTGTCTACAGTGCTAAAAATATGAGATACGCCAATACCTCTCGCGTAGCGCTCTTCATCAGTTGACTAAACCGAAATGGATCCTTTGAAGATTTTTCGGTCAACAATCACTGATAAATAATTTTCAAGAAATTTTAAAATCTATTAAATCACCAAACTTTGGCCGGTATTCGTTTGAAGCTTCCATGCTGCTGTATGCACTGCTTGTGCAAATCAGTACTGGGATGTGACAATTTTCGAATGCACACCTTAAGGAAAACTGGAGATGCTTCATGCGCACTACAAAATTTGCTGTTACGTTGCTGCTGCAGATTCTTATGTATCCGGAAGTTCCTCGGCCCGCGCTTCTTCGTTATTTGCCCCCAGTTGCCATATGAGCTTTGTTTGAAAGCACTGAATTAACCCTCGCCACATTTTCTTTTTGGACTGCATTTAACTTTTCATTATTTCGTCGCTATCTTTCGATATAAAAAATGTTAGTTAATGGCTCCGGGCTTAAAAAGTACTTTATCGTAAATAAACTTGTAATTAGTGAACGCCCATTCATTTTTCCAAAAGTTACTCTTCTGTGATAATTTTTAGGCTGTTTTATGTCCCATTCAATCCTTCATTCATTGAACACGCTAGCTGCAGGTTAAAAAACACCTTAGCTATTTTGGCGCAAAAGAAAGGAAAAGAAAAATCACTTGAAACAGAGACAGGCCGGCTGAGTCACCAATAATGGATAAACATCGTTCCGGAGATATAATAGCTGTCTATTGTGCCGCAAATATCCATATTATCCCTGCTAATTATGATCGTGTTTGGAAGGGAAGGCTAAGCGGGAGGGGAGGGAAAAGAAAAGCACAGCACAAACGCCAATGAGAGCGGGTCCTAGCCATGTCAACAAGTGTACCCAACCAAACGTGTTCACCGTACTTCGGTCCCCAACCAGGGAGCCGAGAGGCTCCAACGGAGACAGCCTTCGAAGTAAGGGCTTTCATTCATCTAGATCAAGTCATCACTTGGACACCTCTCCTCTTCTTCCATCCACAACCCGGGAGCGCAACCAACACCCTTCCCTAGAGTAGGCAAGCGGGCATGCGCAGCACGTGGCCCAGCCATCGTAGCCTGGTGCGTGAAATAACAGTGATGAGCGGCTCGCTTCTTCGTTCTGCGCCATAAACAACGCTTGGCCGGTACTCGAAGCTGCA